CCCCCCATTGTCACCGTTCACCAGTTCCCACCGACTCAACCAGGTCACCCCCTGCGGGTAGACGTTGACGTTTTGCCCTATTTGCTGGAGGCTTTAACGTAGAAATAAGATAGTGCAGATGAGGATGAGGTCTCCTGTCCTCTTGGTTCTTTTTCCCTACCTGAAGTCAACCCCCACCGTGAACCTGGTCTGAATTCAATCCTGGTGTTACCACCTACACACACACACACACACACACGCGCGCGTGTGTACAGAATTATACATGTCCACATATTATACAAAGTACGGTTTATATGTTTTATTTTATTTTATTTTATTTTGAGTTGTAGTCTCACTCCATTACTCAGGCTGGAGTGCAGTGGCACGCACATGGCCACCCCAGTGTCGTCAACCTACTGGGCTCCAGCGATCCTTCCACCTCAGCCTTCCAAGTAGCTGGAACTACAGGCATGCGCTACCACACCTGGCTATTTTATTTTATGTTATGTTATTTTATTTTATTTTATTGTAGAGATGAGGTTTCACCAAGTTGCCCCTGCTGGTTTCAAATCCCTGGGCTCAGGCAGTCTTCTTGTCTTGGTCCCGCAAAGTGCTGCAATTACAGGCTTGAGTCACCGCGCCTGGCTGGTTTACATGCTCAGCCTGTAATCCCGCGCCTTTGGGAGGCTGAGGTGAGTGGATTGCCTGAGCCCGCGGGTACGAGACCTGCCTGGGCAGCGAGACCTCATCTCTACAATAAATCAAAAAATCAGCCGGGCGTGGTAGCGCATGCCTGTAATTCCGGCTACTCGGAAGGCTGAGGTGGAGGGATCGCCGGAGCCCAGCAGGCAAGGCTGTGGTGGCCGGGAGCGGCCACTGCACTCCAGTCTGGGCGACAGAGTGAGACTCCAACTCAAAAAAATAAATAAATAAAAATAAAAAGAATAAAATGTACCTAAATAGCATGATAGCCTACAACTTGCTTTTATTTTAAATTTATTAATTTTTGAGTTGCGGTCTCACTGTGTCACCCAGGCTGGAGTGCGGTGGCATGATCACAGTTCACTGCAGCCTCGACCTGCTGGGCTCAAACAATCCTCTCGCCTTCTGAGTAGCTGAGACCACAGGCACACACCACCATGCCAGCTAATTTTTTGATTTTTTTGTAGAGACAAGATCTTGCTATGTTGACCAGGCTGGTCTCAAACTCCTGGACTCAAGCAATCTTCCCACCTCGGCCTCCCAAAGTGCTGGGATAACAGGCATGAGCCACTGCACCCAGCTGCAACTTGCTTGCTTTTAAAACTCTCTGTCCTGTTGAGATTTATTTTGCAGACACAGAGCCCCGCCCAGCCCTTTTATCAGCTATATAATATTTCTCTCGCCTCCCCCACCCCCATTTATCTACCAGTCCCCCCACTGGCAGCGATCTGAGCTGCGCCCATTGGCGATTTAAATCAGAGCCAGGTCTTCACCTGGTTGGGTCACAGTTGAGTCGCATAAGCCGCAGAGTCCCCTCAGTTCATGCCCCAGACCTCTGGGGGTCCCTGCCCCCACGTGGCTCGCCTGTGGAGTGAGGTAAGTCGAACGTCATCGTGACGTCCGGTGGTGTCGACCCCCATGCTCCCGGGGCTCTGCCTGACGTCAGGGTTGCTGGCCGCCCTGCCTTGGGCCCGGCTCCACCGTGGGACACGCTCGTTTGTGGTGGTGCGACTGGCTCAGAACCGCCGGGGACTCTGCCCTCCCAGTGGGGCCCCGACGGGAGGCGTGAGCACAGGGGTCTTCCCCACACACCCGGCTCTGCTCCGATGGGGCAGCCAGGTCTTGCCCCCGCCCAGGTCGCTCCTCCCTGCGGGGGTTATTTTTATCCCAGGCACAGGCTCGGTCAGGACCCTGGAGAGTTTCCAGGGAGTCAGAGCTGGGAACCGCCGCATTCCCAGGGCTCCGTGGCTCGCTGCCTCCCGGGACGCCGCCTCAGTCCCTGTCCCCTTCTGGCCTCCATCCGTGGCTCGGCCCTGAGGACTCCCCCTTGACCACCGTTCTGTGGTCCCGGCCGGCCCGACAGGCTTGTTGCCATGTTGGTGAAGCCAGAGAGGCTTTTGTTCAAGGACTGAGCCCCTGGCACCCCGGCGGGCTAGCTTGAAGCTCAGCGGCCCCTTCCCCAGTTGGCCAAGGCCCTTTCCTCCGCTCCAGAGACCCCGCACTGTCCCTGGTCGGCCTCGCCTGACCTGTGGGGGCTGCCAGTCTCTTCCTCCGTCTCCCTGGCCCAACTGTGAGCTCTTGAGGCCAGGGACAGCGTCCCTGTGTCTTCTTGTCCCTAGTCCCTGTTCCAGGGTCCAGCACAGAACAGGTGACAGTGACTGGGTGGCCCTGACTCTCCCTTGGGGTAAAGCAGAGATGAGGTGTGAATGGACACGCTCCTTCCAGCCTTCCTTGCCTTCTTGGGCCGATAGCATAGCTTTCAGATGACAGGCTCTGAGGGGGGTGGGGCTGTGCTTTGTGGCCCTTTAACGGAGGTGTGGTCATGGTCCCCAGGGATACAGGAGCCAAGCTGGCCTGCTGGAAGATTCCAGGTCTTCAGAGCCAGCACTCGATCTCAGCTCTCTGCTTACTAGCCGGGTGGTCCTAGGTGCATCTCATCGCCGCACTAAGCCTCAGCTCCCTTATCTGTGAAATGGGGGTGATGACTGGAAATGACAAAGTGACCGGTCGTGTCGGTGCTTCTGCGGGATTTTGGGTAGGAACAAAAAGCACCGCAGACACCCAGCGAATGAAATCCTGACTTTGGCATTTGCAAGTTTATAAGACTGGAGTCCTCGAACATAGGGAGTTTTCTTTTTTGCAGATGTGCTCAGTGCCTTGAACAAGGCCATGGGCACGGTGGATCTCTGAGCATTAATCCCCACCTGTGTCACCTGGGGACTGTGTCCCATGACCCAGGGTCACGCTCTGGGAAAATGCAGCTCCCAGCCAGGACCATGAGGGTCAGGGTCCTGGGCCACCAGCCTCTTCCATCCCCCCACCCCTGCCGTTGATTAAGTCAGCCACCGTACACCTGGCTATGTTCTGGGATTAACTCCTGCCTGGCTGGGTGTGATCGAGCACAGGTCCTGACCTGAGATGGTTGTTGGGGACCAGTTGGCCATGTGAGCCCCGAGATCACAGTCAGAGGGTCGGTCCGACAGGGGCCAGCTAGGGAAGCCCCGGCCCGGGGTGTTCAGTGGTTCTGCCTGGCGGGGACAGGCAAGGTCAGGGCTGAGGCGCCCCAAGGTCCTTCCCTTTCCCTGGGCGCTTGCTCCAAGCTGCAGACCAGTGGGTACATGCCGCATTGCATAGATGGGGCGGAGTCCTCGACGGGGCTCTGGGTAACCGGCACAGCGTGTGACCAGCATGTGGCTGGTGCCGGTGCAGGGCTGTGGCACCAAGAGCCTTGTGCGGTGGGTAAACTGAGTCTGCCATCACAGGGCCTGGAGGCTGGCTCTTGGGGCTGGTAAATGGGGCATCCTTTGGTGACACGAGACGGCTTCAGCAGCCCCTCTCGGGGGTGGGAGATGAGAGGCAACCCCTGCCGGAGAACCACCTGCCCGAGGCCTGACTCCCGGAGGCCTCGAACGCCAGGCAAGGAGCATTCGGGCTTCATCCTGGACACAAAGGTCCCGGGAGGAGAACTAGGAGACACGGGGGCTCTTGAGAGCTTGAGGCAGGGGGGACTGGCCCAGGCAGCCCCTCTGGGGTCCAGACTACTCATCGTCCCAGGAGCGCCCCGTGGGTCCCAGTTCCCCCACTTCCTGTCGGGGGACCACGCTTGCAGAGACCTGCAAGCCTCAGTGTCCACTTCTGCAAAATGGGCCGGTCGCCCCCGCGGGTGCCACGGCTGGACCCCTGCTCACTCGGCCTCCCCCTGCCCCGATTCCTTCCAGAGCCTGAGAGCTCCGGCTGCCCTGACGCCACGTTCTGCCTGGAGTGGAGCCATGAGCTGCGTCCTCGGCCACGTCCTCCTGCTGGACCTGCTGCTGCTGCTGGCCTGCGGGGCCCACGGCGACCTCCCGCCCAACGTCACGCGCCTGGGGGAGCTTCTGGGTCGGTACCACCAGGATGCGCCGCACGCCCGCGTGCGCAGAGCCATCCCCAAGGCCGACAAGGAGGAGATCCTCTCGCTTCACAACCAGCTGCGAGGCCAGGTGTACCCGCCGGCCTCCAATATGGAGTACATGGTGAGCGCGGCCGGGGCAG